GCGAGTACAGTGGAAGTTTTCTGAGTCAACCGACGTTTTTCGGAAAAAAACCTTACAGGATGCAACCATCCGGCGCCCCGAAGGAAAGTGGAGCGGGGCGGAAATACCGCAACGCGACTTCGACTTGGGGAGGAATTTGGGGTTTTTTTGGGCCTTACTAGGGAGGTATCTGAACTCGGCATCGAACTTGGAGAAGTCAACACACCATTTGACGCGCCTTTGTCGAGGGGATTCCAAATATGTAATAAAATCAACCAGAGCCTATAACGATAAAAAGTTATGAGCATTTTAAGTTTTGCAGCGAAATCGGCCGTGGCGGCGATATGAGCCTCCCAGCGCACTCCCGTTCAATGGCCCCGTGGCCTAGTGGTGTGCGCATGGGTCTCCGGTCTGTACGACCAGGGTTCGGATCCACTCACGATTTTTATTTTTGCTTTTGACCAGTTCCTACTTTTGCATTTCCAAACTCGGGAATAAGTTTTTCTTGACTGTGTGACTCTTAAAAGACACCAGCGACCTGGTGGTGCCTTTTAAGAAAAATAACCTGTGGCAACAAGACCAGATTGGACGCTTCTCTGTCAAAGTTGGCAAATCCATCAAAACCGCCCTTTTAAGACTCTGTATAAATTCGAAAAAATAATTTGTCCAGTACATCTTGATCAGCAGAAAATTCTCTTTCGAATGGGCTATCTTACATAGGCTTTATGGGAAATTCCTCGAAGCGTCTTTCGGCAAGAGCTGGCCATACCCTACCCCCTTACGCCGCATTCCAAAATATTTTTCGGAAATTTTGGTAAGGTCGTATGTATATAGCTCATTTGAAAGAGCTTTCTTGTTGAATAAGGAGCACTAATCAGTTTAGGCTGGGGTCCATTCCACGGGATGATGCAGGGTCTCGAAGATACTGTTTTTCGCCATTTTGTCGGACTCCCGAATGCTCATAACCCTTTACGGTTATAGGCTCTGGGTGATTTTACTACATATTTGGAACCCCCATCGACAAGGCGCGTCGAATGGTGTATTTTAGTTCTCCAAGTCCGATGCCGAGTTCAGATACCTCCCTAGTTGAAGCGGTTTCTATAGCGAAATGGCTGCTGGTCCTGCCGGGTGGCAGCCGGGAAGGTGGCCTGTTTGCCGGCTGGCAGCCGGATCTTGCCCGGTTTTCTGCCGGAGTTTTGCCGGGACCCTGGCAGAACCCGGCTGTCGGCTGCTCGACCTGGCAAAAAGTCGGCGGCCGGGTTCTTGCCGGTCCGCTGCCGGGGTCGCCGGGAATCCTGTCGGCTTTCTCGCCGGCCGTCGGGATACTGCCGGATTCTTGCCGGTGTAAACATGTATTTATTCGTAGCCCACCCCAACCGAATTTCTCGGCTTTTCCCTATTGTCGTTCGCGTTCAGGGTATTCTTTCATAAATTTAGATTTAAAGTCTTCAAAAAGAGGGGAGCATGTCAGCTTATAAAAACGTTTGATGTTTTAGAACGCAGCCTGTGAATTGGTACTAGAGTTTTTTAGATTTGATGTAGGCAACACCTTTGATTTCTCGTCAAATAATGGAAGTTTTCAGATAAAGTTTATTTCGACTCATATCTGCTGCTGTCTTTCTGGGTTCACGTGCCTGTATGTCGCTGAGAGGAACTGCAGACGATGCCAGGTATTAAAGTTTCATTAGCCTTTGGGTGGTTTTGGGCTATAACGAACCAGCCTACACGTTTACGATATGCTCGCCACGTGACGAAGTAACTCAGGAAACAAGAGAAGTTTAGTAAAATCTAACTGTTTGTTTCTAGATAAACCCTGTAGTGAGAAAACTGCGCCTGCTTCGTATTCAAGCACCGTGGTTTTAAAAGTATGTTTACTGATGTTAAGTTTAATGGGTTTAAAAACCTATTAACGCTGAAAAAAGTGTTAAACTGAATGGGGTTAGGTTGATTGTTGCTGCGAACGTCTACTGCCAAGTCTCGTGCTTCAAAAGTAAGTGATAAACGAAATTAAAGACAAGATAAAGTATCAGTGATATATTGGCACAAGATTACAGGCGTCGCCTACGTTGCACCGCGAAGCGGAAGCGGGAAGCATTATATTGGCAGAAGTTTCGGCAAATGGCCGGCGAATAACCGGCAGGATGCAGGCAAGAACCTGGCAAAAGCGATTCGTGAAGAGCTGGCATGTGCGGCAAGAAACCCGGCTGCCGGGTTTTCGCCGGATGGCAGCCGGGTTTCTGCCAGATGGCAGCCGCTGGCTGCCGGCGGCAGCCGGATGGCAGCCGGCGTCGGCCACCCGGCAAGAACGCGGCGATTTCCCGGTTGCCACCGCTGGCAGGATGCCGCAATCCATGCCCTGTGTTTTTATTTCCTGATGAAGCGCCATGTTGCTGAGTTTTTTTTTACTAAAAAAACCAAAGTTCCGCGCGTTTTTTGATTTTATGTGCACTCGGCTTTGTTAAAGTGCGTGCTTTCTTTTATACGCGAGTCAAGACGGCACGGAGATGCAAAATTTAAGCCTTGATAGCGCTTTTCGATTCCTCACATAATAAAGGACATATTTTGACGTGAGCATCATCGAAAATTAGCCGTACGAAGCTTTCTAGGGTATTATAAGGTTTTTTGGAGCTTTCCCCTTTGCTCAGCGCTCCTAGCGCCACGATCTTGTAGAATCTATTTGAATTAATATTATTCTGCCGCGTTTTCTATAGTTTTGTTATCTTTTCACCCTTTTCAGCCTGGATCCGCATAGCTCTAATTGATTCCATCAATTTCAGGAAGCACACCTTATAACATGGGCGACGTAACCGAACAGCAGCCGATGGAGGTGCAGCCCAGCGAAAGCCCGCTCGAGGAGCCAACACCGGTAGAGGGACCCATCTTCGCTTTAACTTCCTCATTTTAGTCCGATACCCCGTCATCCGATGCACCGCCATCATCGACGGGCGCGATCGCCGACAGCGGGGAGGAGGCCGAAGGCACCAAGGACCCGGAAGCCCCGCCGCCTGCTACGATTCTTCCTGCAAAGTAATACGAAGTTTTTATATAACCTTTTCGGTTTAGTCCGACTGCCGTGCCAGCTGAATCTGAGGCGGGACGTCCGGCCGGCGCTTCGACCGCTACAGGCCTCCCGACGCGCCAATTCCTCGATCAGACCATCGTGCCAATCTTGCTGCAAGGACTAGGTAAACTTTTTGACCCTCGTAGCGAAGCGATGACGAATCTACGGGAATCTGTTTTGGGTTCTGGTTCGTTGGTTGAATGGGGGTTCTAGATCACTTTTAAGGCTCAATAATGAAAGCTAGACTATATTTTCCATTCCTAATTTTTTTGAAGTATACAAACATTTGAAAGGTCGGAAACAATAAGAATTTTTGAATTACTGCTAAAAGGGGTAAAACCGGCCGAAAAGTCCGCGAATGTGTACAAACGATCCGGCATCTTCTTGGTAAAGTTTTATTACCGCAGCTCTATCTCGAAAACGGAAACTGTAGCCCTAAACTTTGTTTGGCGCGCCTGTTGGTCAGGTTTTATCTTTAATTTTTCGCTTTCCAGGCAGCTTGGCGAAGGAGAGGCCAGAGGATCCGATCCAGTACCTCGCCGACTTCCTGCTCCGCGAGAGGTCGAAGTATACTGGCTCAAGCACTGGCGGCCCGAGCACAAGCGCCTGAAGTTACGCGGCAGCTGAATTCCAATTTCTCACTTTACCCCGTCCCCCATTGGATGCATTCTTTGATATTTTGTTCCGCTGCACCCCTCCAAATTCTGGCCTACCCGTTTGCAAATTTTGTCATTGCCTTTCGTTCCGACATTGTTCGTTTTTCAATAAACATTTCACGCCGTATTTTCGCTTATTTCAGTCACAGCTTTATGGCAGCAAGATTATCATGGATTTGGCTTTTGAAATCATTCGCTCTGCGTCGCAAAATACTATTCTAACCCAAAGTGTTACGTATTTTGATTTCATATTGTCAACTTTTAGGCGTCCGGCCACTACCCCAGAAAATTCCCGGTTTTGATTTGGATTTACCGACAGCAAATAAAAAATTGCGCATTATTAGCGGCGTGTTAGGTTTTTATAACAGTTTCGTCATTCTTCGCGCGATTGCGAGACCTTTGACCCGGTTCAGTTTCGATGTTCGACCCGGGTCGATAGCAATCCTACATGCAACCCGTGTTTTTTCAGGCGAATGGATCCACATCATCGTGAAGAAGCTTGGCTAAATCAATGCATTGCACTCGATCGAGCACTCGCGTGTGGCAACGCACCGGTACTGCGCGACGCTCCGATACGTGGGCCAGACAAGATAGCGGTCCTGAGCAGCTCAAGTAATTGCTTTTAAAAAGCTTTGTTATTTGAAGTTTAGATACGTCGGAAGCGACCCCAGGACAGGCATCAAGCTCGAATGAGAACAAAGCCGGCGCCAAATCCGATCGGCCAAAGGATTGGGTGAAGGGATTGATTCGGGACGGCCGCTGCCTGTCACGTCCATCAAAACAGCGGAAGCCCTCGAAAGTCAAGGGCGCCAAGACGAAGAACGGAAACCTTGCTCCACACGGTCTCGACCAGAACAAAAATGATGCTATCGGCGTGTCGCCTTCGGCCAGCGCTCACCGTCGCATGGCTGCCGATCATAACACCTTTTCCTCGGAAAGCGACGAGGCACCGTTGGCGCACGGCGACGGACAGAAACCGAACGATTTGACGGTCGCGGGAGCTTCTGGAGCAAACCGAGACTCCTCCCCCGAGCTCGTCATCCGGAGGCCCGCCTCTTCTAAACCTACTACGGCTCAAAAGAAGGAAGGAGGGTCTGGAAAACAACTGCCTCAAGAGGGTCCAACCATCCCGGGAACCGAGCCGACCCGAAAAAAGCTGAAGCCTCTGAAGCTGGTTGATGCATTAGCAGCGGCGCCAAGCACCATCAGTTCCTCGAAGCACCTGGACGGGCAGAATGGGTCAACCATTGCATGCAAAGCGCCGGCTGAGCCGGCTACTAAGAAATATGTGCAAAAGCCTGACATCAAGAAGGCGGCGAATGTCGACGAGCCTGCAACACCTCAGCCTGATTCAGCAATGAAGCGCATCAAACCGGCACAAGAGGTGGAAAATGGGGTTATCACCGGTACGTTTTATTGGTGAGTCGAGGATACTTTCCCTTTAGATCACCCAAAGAAGAAGAAAAAGATGCCTGCCGATGCGCAAAATCGAACTTCTCAAGAAAATGACGGCACGAGTTGCCCCTTCATCCAAACGACCTGCTGTGAATAATGGCTTGCAAGAAGGGACGAATGATGGTTCTTCGAAGGGCACTGCCGGTAAGATTGATCTATTTGCCATACATTCTTTTCCAGCGAAACTGCCGAATGTACCGCCGATGCCGGCTGCTTTGGGATTCCTGAATCAGGGCGCTTTTCGACCACTATCAGCTATGAACACGGTATCTGCGCCAGAAACAGCCGGTGCCTCGTCAAATCGTTCGCATGCTTCCGACGGGTATTTGGATAGATAACTTTGGGTTAATTTATTGCCTAGGCTGCAAAGCTGTCTCAAAGGAAGTCGTAACAATGAAGACGAAAATCTAAAAAGGAAAAGGAAGGCGGCTCAAGAACGTGAGAATGAAGCGGAGGCCAAACGGGTACCTTAATGGATCTAGCTTTTATTTTCGGGACTACAAAGTATTTAATTGTCCCTTTTCGTTTAGGTCCGATTCGATTCCAGCCAATTTCCGAAGGTGTTCGATCGGAACCAAAACATCGGCGATCCGTCATTGGCTGCCGCGAAGATCCAGCCTGCTGAATCTGAATCAAGATGTGGTGTCAAGGATCGATATCGCCGGTATTCATCTCAATTACTCGGTTTATTTGTTTTTAGAATCAATCCAGCTGAAATGCTGCCTTGCCAACCTTCACCCTACGCTCCCAGGCCATCAACGAACGAGCCGATGCGCCGTCATCTGTCGCCTCCCCAGCAGTCATATCGTCGGCCAGAATCGCCTCGACATCAACCTTCCGCCAGCAAACGACCGTCGTCCCGCTCCTCGTCGCCTCGGAGCGGGGGCCCCCCGTCGTTCCAATTCGCCTCTGGGTTTTGTTGACTGCCCTTTTTTCCCGTCCACTCCGCGGGACGAAAGACGGCGTACACCAGACCCAAGAAAGCTGACTGTAAGCGATTTTGCGAAATATTAGAGTTTTCACAAAATTCTTCGTAAATATTTGCTTCAGGACATGGTCGCGGCCAAACTATGCTATGACGTACGCCTGACGCTGCCTATCCAATACAGTGACCACGAGGATTGGCGCTTGGTCAGCACCCGTCAGCCTGTCAAACTCTATTTTAGGTCGAAGATGCCCGTAGGTGCAACTACAAGGCTCTCGCGTGCGATCGAGAATACGGAAGAAGGACCCGATCACCTCCACCAGATCCATTCCGCGGCCAGCGTTACCGCGACTTCACGGACATTGGAACGATCGACTTCCCCATGCGCAACCCCAACCTGGGAATTTTCTCGCCGATTTTCGATGCAGTCGACACTGTGAAAGATATACATCTAGAGTTTGTCCTTCAATTATAATTGTTAGAATATTTTTGCAGTAATTGGTCTGCCATGCCGGTTCGTACGTTGCTCGCCGACAACTCGCATGAGGCCTACAAATCTCGCCAGCTGGTCAGTCGGTTTTTTTGCGCCGAGCTGGGTTTCAGCGTTTCACCGAACAGGCTACACCAGTGATGTCACTGCGTGACTGCATCCAGCGGAACATCGACGAATTGTCCCCAAATTTTTCGAATCCGCCGTCACGTTTTGCCGAGCAAGGGCCGTTCCTTTATCGCACCGGCTACAAAATCTGCTATTCGAAGGAAACAAAGTTTGTTTTGTATGTTTTGCTTTGAAATCTCTTTAGAGCCGAGCGTCGTCGTATTGACCAGGATAACCTTAGACGTGAAAACGACGTGAAGTCGATCGAGGACGTACTGCGCGAGACCAGTGAGGACAGCTACAACGTGCCACGTGACGATGTGGACCTTCCGGTATTCTGCACCTTTTCTCGCTTTTCATTGCGTTCAGGTTCCCCGGACTTGGTTTGGCCCAGTGGTGCAGCACGCCATTAGCGAAAACAACAACAAGGTGCTGTTCTTCAAAATGATCACCTGGGTGAACCGGTTTCACGACGCAGCATTTGAAACTGTCGATGCCCAGGTGCGTGGTCTGATTCTTTTCGGATGATCGGAAATTTTCAGTCACGAGGAGATATGTCTCTCTTTGGCACTAGGAAGCCTGCGAAGATCGTGCAAATGTCTCGGCTACTACTGTCCCTCGCCGTTGGCCTGGCACACCAGCAAGAGTTCATCAAGCGCTTTCCGGAGCTTGTTCGCCGCATGTCGGAATTTGAGGATCGGACCTCATTTCACCTCGGAGAAACGCGTGGTGCTGCAGAGGGGCGTGCACGCGTCATCGAAATGCACATGAAGGTACTTTGATTGTTTGAGTATACCCCGGGTGCTGTTTGTTAACGGGGGGAGGGGCTAACTATTTATTATGTCGTGTTGGCGTTCTTTCGGAGACAAACTTTTAATATAATTTTACACGCTCTTTTAGCTCAAAACTTTCAAAAATTAGTTAAATCTTCGAGAACCGATTGTTTTTATCGGTTATTGATGATTTGGTGAATCCCCTACCCCCCGATACACATACACACCGGATTTTTAGAAGAGGTCGACCCTGACGTTGGAAGTGATGAAAGAATTCTGCGAACTGAAAGAGTGTGTTTTGTGGCCTTGTGGAAACGCGGCTCTTTTAGATACGAAGAAGGGGATTGGATCACGATCTACAACGAGCTGGCTGCCTCCTATCGGCGATTTGGTGCGTCTGATCTAGCATTTTATATTAACCCTCCATTTAGAGCCGGTGAGTGAGCTGGACCTCCAGACTGAAATGACCGACGTCTTCGAGGGTCAGCTACAAGTGTCCCACCATCGGCTCATCTTCCACGACGAGTGAGCTTGATTTTTGCCGGGTGTAACAAACCCTTTTTTAGGTACAAAGACAATCTGAAGAAGGCGCGATATGGTGATTGAGAAGGAAGTGAACGTATTTTTGTTAGTGTAATCTTTTGTGTTATGTGCTTGTTGGATCGTAATTTTTCGACTTAATAAAAATTTTATCAACGTGAGGAGTTTGAGTTCGCAATTCAGTGTTTCAAGGCGCGGTCAGGGGCACTGGACGGTTAGCGGGGGCGGGCATCTTTCGCCTTTGTTTAAGGTTAAAGTTTTCTAGGAATGTTTTGGCTTTTTAGTGAACGAAGACTTCGAAAATAGCTATAAAACCACACTATAAAATGCGAAAGAGTTTTGCCATGTATGAAACGGTTAGATAGCTTCCCTGATCTAACCACCCCCCACCCCGGTAAGAATCCAGTACCCGTTCAGGTGATGCACCAAGTCGACTCGGGCGTTTGGCGTCATGGCACTTGTTGTAAGGGACTTTGCCTGGATCCGTGTCTGAGTAGCAGCCGTACGGGACGTTGTGTCACTCGGGCCCTCATGCTCTCCCCGTATTGATCCAGAGGGGCCAGAGGACCACACCAACACCAGTTGCCCCTACGCTCTTACCCTTCAATGCTTCCAATGTGCCCAAACATTCCGCTTGCACCCTAATCGAGTCGCCAGTATAGTTGCCGGTGGGTAGAAGCGGCTTCCGGCATTACGTTTAAGCGCCTTGCCTTCCTACTTTCTAGACGTTTTTCGATTCTGGTTCGTTTGCGAAGGGGGGCGAAGGCTTCTATTACTCTGCCTAATCTCTACAGGCATAAAACCTAGGCTATTTTGGTGGTGTTTTTGATATTCTCCGGCCAGCAAAAGGTTAGAAAAACATTTAAAAATGCCAAATATATAACTGTTTTTTAAAATTCTTCACGTGTTTTTGTCCAGGAATTCGACAATTTCCATAGATTTTTGATCTTTTATACGCTTTATATCGCAAAAAGGGGCTGATAGTTCTAATACACAGCTTCTGTCCGCCTCATCATCAGGTCGGATTTACATAGCATCGGCACATCGGAAACGATAGCCCCTTGATAATGAACCAGCACCGATTTTTTGCAATAATTCCTTTCGTAATCGATCTTTGGCCATCCAAAGTTTAGCGCCACGGGGTACAAACTTTTACTATAGCTAGAAAAGCCATTTCCCAACACGACGACCATGTTCAGGGCATGGGCAACTCTGGCAGCTCGCTCTCAGAGCTGAACCTCTTCTCCAAGGGCGGCGTCTTCACGCGCGAGCAGCTGGACGAGTATCAGGATTGCACATTTTTCACGCGAAAAGATATAATTCGGCTGTACAAACGGTTCTACCAGCTTAACCCGCAAAAGGTACGCCGTTCTCTTCATTTTTTACTTTAAAATGCGATTCGACCTCAAAATTGTTCTTCTTATTCAGGTGCCAACGAATATGCAAGGAAATCGCCCACAAATCGTGACGCTCACCTTCGAGGAGGTCGAGCGGATGCCGGAGCTTCGGGTTTGTACGGCTTGACCGCCCCCAAATATCGAGCGTCTCTTTTCAGGAGAACCCGTTCAGACGTCGGATCTGCGAGGTGTTCAGCGAGGACGGGCGAGGGAATTTGACGTTTGACGACTTTTTGGATATGTTCTCCGTGTTTTCCGAGATGGCGCCGCTGCAGTTGAAGCTCAAATATGCATTCAGGATCTATGGTGGCTCTAAACTTTTTTGAATAACAGTTGCAGGGATATAAACTCAAGATAAAGCGATGAAACCAACGCTACATTTTTCAGATTTCGATGGTGACGATCACTTGGGGCATGATGATTTGTCGAAAATGATTCGATCACTAACGAGAGACGAGTTGAGCGATGAGGAAGTGGAGTTTATTATAGAAAGGGTACGTCTCAATCCCATCAATGCATCTAAGCCCTTCCTAGATAATCGAAGAAGCCGATCTGGACGGCGATGAGCGGATATCCTACGCCGAATTCGAGCATGTTGTATCCCGCTCCCCGGACTTCATTCGAACGTTTCATATTAGAATTTGAGAAGTTATTGTTTTTGTTTTCTTGTTGTACATATTGGTGCCATTCCCTTGTCAAAGGTTACAAAAGCTTTGAGTCAAAAGTGTACAGAACACACCATTTATTACACATGGCAATTGCGCCGAATCGGCAAAGCGAAATAGCGACATTTTTAGCGTATTTCATGATTGTTGGTCGCAGTAGTCCTAAAAAATTGAGGAAACTGCTGCGGGATAAATTTTGGGCGTCCGGAGTACTGGCAGGATTGCTCTAATAATCGCATCGCAAAGTTCTCGTATGGCATCGGATTGTGGTCGCACTTTGGCGGCACTTCCGATGTCACACAGACATTTTGTTTTGTGTATTTTCTGCACGACAATTTTTGTAAGTCTTTATTCTATCTAAACATTAACGAGGCAGTTTAAGATTCCGTATTGTGTAGTCTGTGGGGCGGGGCTTCATCGAGTAGTACAAATCGTGGTTATCGTGGCATAGTCTTCTTCTTCTTCCATTACATCACTTCTGGACGGCGGTTTCAAGAGGAGTGCCGCTCCAGCGACAGAGTCCGCAACAATGGTCTAAATTCGACCGATGTAAAATTCTGACTAGATTTATTACCGCGCAGCAATCCGGCTGTGTAGGTGCGCTGACTCCTGGAAATGAAATTTATTGTCCGATCTCCGGTTTTGACCGCGTGATGGTGATGTATAGCGATAGCCATCGTAAAATGCCTACGACGGGGGAAGTTTCAAGTAGTGCATCAGCTCGCGGCAGGCCTGGGTGCAAGTTTTCTCCTCGTGGCGCTCTTTTTTGTCGGCACTAAAAAAAATAGCTTGTATGGAATGGGGAATGACGAAATAAATGAGGAATTCTTCTTTCGCAAAATTCTTCCGAAAGAGCTTACTAGTAGATCCTCCGATGCTTCCCGCATAGCAGCTGTCCGTGAACGGGTTCATCTACTTCCTTTCGACCGCAAAGCAAGCACCCATCGTTGGCCGGCGGGAACTAAATCCCACTGGTATCTGCGAAATGATGAATCAGCTTACCTCGTTGATAACCCCATTGCGGGACACCGGGCGTTTTTCAGTGGGCGGCGAAGGAGAGGTGGGTGAAGAGGCCGTCGTCGACGGCGCGAACTCGGTGACTGGGTGGTCGGTCGAGGGGTCGAGGGCCGTATGGGTCACTGCCATCGGCGTTGAAGTCGTCGGCGTGGACGGGGTCATCGGTGTCTGGGGCTTCAGGGGCTTCTTCTCGCCAGGCTTCTTACCGACCGCACGTCTGACTCGGCGCCACCCTGCCTAAACATACGGCATACCAAAAGCACAGGCAGGTACTATCGGCCGCGGCGTAATTGATTAAGAAATACTACTTAATAAACGTCTTTTATAATTATTTAATGCGTTTTAATATACTATAATATCTTCTACATATTTATAGGACTTAGTTATATAGTTTTTATACAAATTATTTGTGATATATACAAAAAGAGTGCTTATGAGCACCCGCGGCCGATAGTACCTGCCTGTGTTTTTGGTATGCAGTCCTAAACATCGGGCTACTGTTGAAGTGAAGGATGAACCCACCGAGATCTTTTCAAATCTCCAACGTACGACCGGCTGGCATGTGCTGCGCCTGGGCGCCGGGGGTCGGCCATCCAGCCGCCGTTCGTTGTGTTGTTTTTTGGGATTGCGAGTTTTTGTGAGGTAGCTTCATAGTATCTTTTTATCCTAATGTTGGAACTTACGCCATTCAAAATTCAAAATAACTGAGAATTTGAATCGTTATTAGGGGTACAAAACCGGTTATATCCAACAGCCGCGTGGCAGCTTAATCATGAGCAGAAATTCTAAGGGGGCACCGAAGTGCCTAAAAGTGAGTTACGATCCGAAAAGCGAAAAGCCTATCTACGCCCGGAGTGCGGGAAGCATGGGAACTTGAAAACTTAGAATGGCTTATAAGCCTGCGGCGCAAGCTTGTGAGGTTAGCTGCATTCATTCCTGCGCAGCCAACGTCAGCTTCGACGCGATACGGCGGAGGTTAGCTTCAAACTTTAGCTTGCGTGGCTAAATCCGTTCTAAAGCCTACGCGCAAAATTGAGGGGTCAGTCTAAATCTTTGGCCTGCGGCGCTAGTTTCATCGGCTAGCTTCGTTTCAAAGCCCCTGGCGCTAGCTTGAGCCGCTCGCGAGCTTGGATAGCGTCCTTCGTCAGCCTGCCGGCAATTGCGCGTTTGCACAAGTTTTGACTCAAAAGGGTACAGAACAAACCATTTATTACACATGACAATTGCGCCGAATCGACAAAACGGAGGGGCAATCGATAATTGGAAGCCGAGAAGAGGATAATTAGAGAATCGAGCGTGAGGGAATCGTTTTTTGAATTGTTCGAAAAGGGGGAGTTGCAGCGGAGGGCTCAAGACGAGGTGACCAGCGGCAGCAGGGCCAAGTCGAAGTTGTTATTGTTGGCGCCGGGCTGCTTGAACGCCTCCTCGCCGCCCAGCTCGCCGGCCACGGGCATCGACAGAACGACGAGCTTGTCCACCTTGGCCGCACCATTATTGCGCATCACTTGCACTTCCATCTAAAATGGTTTGGATAGACTGAAAAACCTGAAATTCGCGGTACTTGCTGTTAGCGGGGGACCTGTAGATAAGTAGCAACTTTTGTAGTCTTTCATGGTTTTTGATACAATGAATCATCAGAATCCAAGAATTCTGAGACCATTTTCCGAAACTTCTGACCAAGAATAAATTTTTCGCAGATTTTGTTAGCTATTTTATAACCTTCTAAACTTAGAAACGTAAAATTCTACCTAGGGCCCGATAGGTCAAAGTTAAGCCCCGCGCTAACAGTCCACTACCAAACCGCCCACCTTCTCTCCAGCCTTGATCACTCCATAGACGGGGGCAACGCGGTAAAGCAGGTTGTCGCTAGTTTTAACCTAGAAAAAAGGATGTGAAAACTATAAAAACGGTGCACCTTGAAAGCCCTGGTGGTCGAGTCGGTGTTGTGCAGGTTGAATTTGCCGAGGCCACCGGTCGCCTTCCAGTTGAGCTGCGTCTCTTGGATGGTGATGCCCTGCGTCTTCGGGCCCGCGCCGGAAATAGCCAGCGTCTGCAAATCAATAAACGATAAAAAGCCAAAATAAATTGTTTACCTTGACGCTCTTGCCAGACTTGCTCTTGGCGCTCTTCACGCTCTTAGCCGACTTTTCCTTCTTGCTCTTGATGGAGGAGTCTTTGGCCTTCTTGCTCTTGCTCGACTTGCTATCCTTCTTGCTCTTCGAAGACCGGCGGCTCTTCGACGATTCATCGGAGGGCTTCAGCTTTCCGGCAGCGGCCAGAGCCGTGGATTTCGGCTTCGACGAGCTGGACTTCTTGCGGGATTGCGACTTGGATCGGGCGCTCCTGGAAAAAAAAATAGAAAGGTAACACGTTTGTATCTCGACCCCACTTTGTTCTAGACCTTTTTGATTTCTTTTTATAATAAGAATAAATTACGTTTCAATCGACAAGGTAGCATAATTTGAAAAATTTGAGACCGAAAGCCAAAATCTCTGCGAGGAAAGTAGCGCTTAGCCATAATGTTCGTCCTAGTTTGTAAAGGAAGAATACTTTACAAATGAGCCGACAAACTACAAACTAGACTTTAGCCAAACTACTCGACGCTAAAGAACTCACTTGGACTTGCTGCTGCCAGGCTTGGCGCTCTTTCCGCGGCTCTTGCTCTTGCTCTTCGCCGACTTGGCGCTTCCGTCACGCGGCGCCTTCTTCTTGCTCTTCGAGCCACGGCGGGCCGAGCGGCTGGCCCGCGACTTCGAACGCGTCGAGGCAGCACCGGCTTTCTTTTTCTAAAAAGGAAAATAGCATTAGAATAAAAATATTTGAATACCTCTGCGGTGCGGCCCTTTCCGCATTGGACGAGGAATGCGGCGGCAGCGGCCGCGGGCACGACCGGAAGCAGTGCTCCCAGCATTGAGAAGGAGATGGAGGACCATCGGAGGATTCGTTAAAAATGATGAACATATGAAAAAGTGGTTCAACTTCCGTTCCGGTAGGGATTCCGGATGTAAAAGAGGGATTCAGGCCACGGCCTTTCAAAGCGCGCACGAGCTTTAAAAGCTACCAAAAACACTCCCAGAACTTCATTATATAAATTTTTTTCTACAAAAACGTGCAAAATGTTTTCCTCCATCGATCTGTCGTGGCGATTTTTATAATACGACTAGGGGGAAAAGTTATGATCGAAAAAGACAAAAATCCTTAACATTTTCGATGACGATATTTGTTACTCTTTAAAAAACTCTCCCAGCGGTTGATTATCTAACTTTATTATACGAAAATGTGCAGAATTATTTTCTCTATCGAACTAGCGCGGCGATTTTGTAAATACGGCCTGGGGAAAAAGTTATAAGCGAAAGAACAGCGGCCCTCTTAACATTTTTGGGGGGTGTGGTAAACCCCTCTCGTGCGCGCTTTCCCATAGATCTGAAACGCCGTGAGGCGCTAGTGGATAAGAGGCTACGCGACACTCCGCTGAAGATGGACTTGGTTTTAGGCTTGGCTTGTAAACCTTTTCAAGCTTGGCTTACAAATTTATTAGCCTAACAAGGGAAGTGCACGACCGGCCCACGAGAAATCGACACGAGACATAGTCGATCTGATAGAATCGGATACGGGGGATTCCGAATCTGTAATCAGAATTTGCTAAATAAAACGGAGAAAAAAGTTATGAAGCTTCAAAGTTGGCAAAATCGCCCAAAATCGGACTTTTAAGGGCCCGTAAATACCAGGGGAACGGAATTGAGGAGAAAAGAATTAGTGCAGCTTGTTCGGCAGAAAAAGCGCTTTCGAATGAGCTGTAATACGTAGCATTTGCAAACAATTCACTGAAAAAAAGTTTTTTTGGATTCACGGGCAAGGGTATGGCCTGTCAAGTTCATAGAAGAGATTTTCGCGAAATCATCGTAAACTTGAAGTAAGATAGCTCATTCGAAAGCGCTTTTTCTGCTGAACAAGATGCACTAATGGGTTGTGGCAAACTTCCATTCCCTGGGCCTGGATAGTAGGATGTGCCTAGGAGCCGAAAAATCGGGTTTCGTTTGCAACCAAACTAGCTCAGTTTTTCGGTTTCCCACTTTCCTAGAGCGCTTTAAACTATACCAAAATACTTGCAATGCCCAGGCGAACATTTTGGTATACTTTGCAGACTTTTGGGGCAACCCGTATTTAACGCCCATTCGCGCCCCTTCACGCCCTCCTGTAAATAACGCCCCCCTATATTTCACGCCCCCTGTATTTAACGCTCTCCTGTAAATAACGCCCTGCAAAACGAGCTTTTTCCTGTAAATAACGCCCTTTTCGTGGTCATTTGGAGGGCGTTAAATACAGAAGAAGTTAAATACAGGGGCGTTATTAAAGGGGGCGCAAAGCTACAGGAGGGGTTACGAAAGAGAAATACGAAATACATAA